GCATGGGGAAATAAGTTAAATATCTTTATTCTTCTTCTAAATATCTTTACCCTTGACCTCCTGCCTAAAGAGCAAGCTAAGCCGGTCAGGTGGGAAAGGAATCTTTTTGGTACAATGTGGCAACAGTCAGAGGTCAGAGACACCACCACTGAGGTTAACTCCACTTGGTGTCTTTCAGATCTCAAATGCTAAGCCCTGGACTCCCTCAGGCCCCAACACAGACACAGGTTGTGAGAACCACCTGCGCCAAGCCAGCCTCTTCCATCAGTCAAAAGCTGTGAGAAGTGTATCCATTGCCACAAAGGTCAGGGCTCCTGCCAGCCACCAGTCAGGTAGGGGCCAGAGAGATTTGTCTGTGCCCGACATCAGCTCTGACAGATGGTGACATCCTGCACCAGCTCTGTTGAAGATGGATTGTCATGTGAGAAATAAGCCAAAGTAAACGCTAATGATCAGAACAATTAGCAAGCTGATCTGATTGTTTTTTATATCGTCTAAGTAGATTTTTGATGGGTAAGAAAGCACATCCTTTGTAGGCCACTGCCTCAGCTATGCCTGTAACCTATGGGGAAGAATTACTGTTCAGTTGTGTTTATGTGCAACAAGTGATTGATCTCAGTTCAGTCTGTGTTTCACATCCAAACCTCAGCAAGGATACCAAGACATGACAAGCTGGGCTGACCATCTGTCAGCTTCAGTTGTTTTGCCTTGTGCAGGTACACAAGGCCAGGATGAGTTTAGGAGAACTGGACACCCAAATCCTATTGAAACATTGCCAGAATCTTTCCCCATTCTGGCAAGGGGTGTAACTGATTCTCCTTAGTTTTTCTAACTTTTTTTTTTTCTAAAAAAATGGTTAACTTTTGATTTACAAGGCTATAATTTATTTTGGCTAGCTATTAGCAACTCATACATTGCAAAATGCTTTTAAACTCTGCTCTGCTCGTACTGTTTATAACAAAGCTCTCCCTGCCTTCGACAGAGGGGACTCCACTCGAGGTGCTGCCAAAAGGCAATGCTCCTGCAAGTGCCACCCAGCACAGCAATGCTGATCATGTCAAAGGACAAGACCTCCAGAAACAAGTCAAGGGTGAGTGCATAAAATACCAGGTTGGCTGGCTCAGGAGGCACTGTGATACTCTTCAGCACTTGCTCTGTTGCAATCTGAACCAAAAGAGCTGTAAATGCAACACAAATGGTCCAGTTGGGAAAGCAGTCACATGAGCAGAGGTTTTGTGGCCAAGTTTTAAGCCTTTTTTCTTTGCAACAGATGACACGGGCAATGTTCCAGAAGGAACATCTCCCTTTTAGCCAAAAATAGCCTCCTAGGAAGAGAAAATAACATTTTCAGAGGTGCTAATAATCCCAGTCTAATCCATATGTAAAAGACAAAATTTAATCTCAGCTAGCCACATGTCAACATAACTGCTTCCAAGGTGTCACCTTGGGATCTTCTTCAGGCAGCAATGTGCAGATCCCAGTGCCTTTGCCAAACTCGGCCCTCCACAGCCTGTGGCAATCTGTCTCTTCCCCATTTCAACTGGAAATGAGACTCAAATTGAAGTATGAGAAACTTGACTAAGTTCTTCATCTTCCCTCGCTTGCAGGGCCTGCAGATGGTGCCAGCAGGCGGCAAAAGCCGCAGCCAGTCGCCCGCCTGGGGAGCCAGCCCAAGACTAAATACAAGTCACCCAGGGAGCAGGAACTCTTTGTGGCCCCAAGGGATTGCAATTTCAAGACTGCTGGAAGTCAAGGAAGTGGATGCAGGAGAAATGTGCCTTAAAATGTATTTTGGCTTCTGTGTCGCGATGCTGAAAAGCAGAGTGGAGGTGAGCAGGGAGGAGAAGAACCTTATATGCTGTATATGCTGTAGAATACTTTTTCTCTATCCCTACTTCAAGTCTGTCCTCTGTACTGTGTGCTCTAGCTGTTAGCTTGAGTTTAAGACAAGTAGGGTGTTAAGAGAGCCCAAGAGAGGCTCTTTTTCCCAGCACTGTTTGCCTCCCAGAAGATATCAGCATTGAGACCAAGTTGCCTTTTTTTTCCCAGGGCAAAGCTATGGATGCCACCCCTGCATCCCAAAGGCTCCCTAACTATTAAAAACAAATGTAAATGCCTGAGGAATAGTTTGCCCATTCTTCCCTGCTGTCCCTGTGTGTTGCTGTGAAGTTGGGAGGTGTGATGCACGCCTGGAGTGCTGTTTGGGTGAGCAGATGTTTGGCTGTGAGATTGCTCTAAGCTCTCCTGTATCTGCAGAGCATTTCAGACCTGGCTGCAGCCAGAGAGGCAGTGTGGTGATAAGTGAAGACCCTGATAACAGCTACTAGCCTGGAGGTAAACTGTGGGAATGTGGTTTTCTTTTTGGAACAAAAGTCTCCAGGCAGCAGCCTATTCCATAAGGGACTTATTAAATATAATGCAAATAAAATGGTTCTGGTCATTGCACTGAATGGTGACTCTGTGCTCCATACAGGAGTGTCTTCCCTCCTATAAGTGTCGAAGGTGACAATCTCAGGTAGGTTTGTGCTTTTTCTCAAGTGGAGGAAGAGCCTTTTTTTACAGCTGTAGCACTTGCAAAGAACTTCCTACATGCTCTTTCTGACTGGGCGACATTGTGCACGCTCCCTATTCCTCCATGAGCCTTGCTTTGCTGTGGGGAAGATGAGGGATAGTTCACCCCAGGGATGAGGAAGCTTAATTACTTGCATTTATTAATGTCTTAAACCCCTGAGGTGGGGATGCAATGCAGGTGTGTGAGCAGGTCCAGCAAGCAGCCCATTTTCCTTATGAAAGAGGAAGCAGAAGTGTGATGGTGAACTAGGTCAGGAACACTTGTTCCCAGGGCTGATTCTTCTGGATAAACAAAGATATAAAGAAAAAAAAGAGCACACAGATAAAATAAACAGACTGTGTGTAAGATAAACCTGTGCCAGCAGTTCCTGAGCCAAGCCCGGAACTACGCCTCCCTCCACAACCCGCAAGGACTCGAAGGACCAGAAGGCTGAACAAACCCAGCTCCCAGAGAGACGCTCCACGACCCCTCGCCCCCTTTG